CGGGTGGCTGAGGCAGGAGAGAGTGAAGAACCTGCGGCGAAAGTCTACTCTCACTAAAATCTGATTCAAGCGCAATTCACTGTAGTATGCACCGTGGACCTCGTCGAAGTCGACGGTCCAACTTTCACTACAATGGTTCCAATGGCTTCTTCTTAATGTGGCCCTTGTTGCACTCCCATTCCGTGGGATCGGTAGGGTCCAAGTAGTGGTTGTACTTGGAGCAGTAAAATCTTCTGATAGAATTCAAAGTTGTTGGTAAAGGGCATAAGTCACCAGAGTGAGGGCTTTATTGTGCACAGAACCCTATGTTGCTGGCTCAGGCAGTAGTGGCCGCTGGCCAAACGAGGGCTGATGTTGACTGCGTCCAGTCGTACCCGAGAGTGTGTGTGTTATGAGAGAGTGATGATGGCGGCGTCCTTTAAATGCCTGTGAACCGAGTTCAAGTAGTTTGCTGTTGGTGTGCTGATATTATTCGCAAGGAGTGTCGCGTGTAGAAGTGCCCTGCTGCGTTGGTCGCAGGGTACCGCGTTCAAGTGTCTCTTGAGAAACTAGTTGGGCTCGCGTGTGCTTGCGTGCGTATACAAGTGAATGCCAGTCAAGCGGTTTAAGGTCAGCGAGTGGTAACAGTCTTACCGAACCGCGGTCTTCGTAATGGTGGACTCCATACAAACAGTAGGTTGGGCGGATAAAATCGACCCGAATATGATTAAATTTACGACTCACGGTGAGTCTCGTAGCTCAGTGGTAGAGCGTTGGCTGCGCAAAAGCCTTCCCTGCACGACTAGGTCCTGAAAGTGTTTCTTTGAACCACGAAATTTCTTCATTGACTCCCCTTTTCACGATTCATCACGTTGTACCTGATGAAAGTGTTTATCCGACTTCTGGGCCATTCTACAAACACATCGTGCATCTCCATACACCATATGTGCCGCGTTTTAGATTTCATGCACATCGACCGATATATTGTTACATAATTACCAGTCTTAAACGCTGACACAACCCTTCATGCGAGCAACTTCGTTTGCTCCAGTGAATGCGATTGCGGTGGCAGTAACGAGTACGGACACACACTCGGTCGCTTGGCAACCGCTGAGAGAGTGCTTTTTTCCGGCCTCCGGAATTTGAATGAAATTTTCTGTTAAACCGACTGCTGTAGTCGCAACCCCTCTAAGCTGAAATAAATAAAACTGCCACAGCTGTACCACAGCTGCTAGTTGACAGAATTTCAGATGAGTCTCTGGCTTAAGCGCAAACGAGGACACGGTTGATTTGCTCTGTGTAAGCATATACAACTCACTTTTTTCGGATTTTCGAATTCACGTTTACGGCCGGAACCATCCCATTTTATAAATCACAATAAGAACTGTTCATTGAACAAGCTAACTAATCAAGTCAGTCCTCATCACTCTGTCCTTTTTATTGTCTTGAGGTGGTTGTTTGGTATTTAAGCTTTGCTAACATCGTGATATTAAAGAACCTTGCATAATAGATTATTGCTTTTTAAGACCTTAGTCACAC